TTTTATTACTTTGTTGTTTCAGCAACATTAAATTTAAAAACTGTACTTTTGAGTTAAAATATATATTTATAATTTTAATACATGACAAATTAAAAAGACATGAACATTTTTTTCTATCGAAAAAATATCGAACCATGACATCAAAGTATCGAACCGAACCGAACCGTGAATTTTGTGTATCGTTGCACCCCTAGTGTTTACCATACCATATTATCAGAAAGAGATGGTACGACCTCTTTCATGACCTTAGGATATGTGTGGTATGCCAGAACACTCAGAAAAAGGAGTGAACGTACTCCTTTGCAGACTACTAAGGATCAGACCTTCTATCATTATACAATCGATTATATACCTCTAAGCATATATGATTATATGTTTGTAAGTACAAATGACAATTCAAAAATATAACCCTAACACTCAGCTTATTCGTAATCTCTGATCCAATGAAGAAATACTTTCAGGAGAACTGAAGGGAAGATCACGATTCTCTCCTGCTAGTCATTAAGATCTTTGTACAAACTGGAGTTCTAATTTTAATTATGATGATGGATTTAATTTTATATGCATGTTTCTCCACCTTAAAAACTCTGCTTCACAGTTTACTGCCTTTGATTACAATTCATACTTTTTATCACTGCACCTTATGCGAAAACATGGGATGGTCCTCTTTAACTGTGGAGGTCTGGAAGGAGCAAAAATGACAAATATAAAATATTTTTTATTAAATACAACCAACATGTATTCAATCTGTCAGTCTTAAAAACTTTTCATGGCGGGTGTCATGCTGAGTGGAGAGGTTCTGTGTTTACATACATGGAGAACCAGCTGCATTTACTTTCTGATATAATTTTCTATTTTTTAAATAATTGTATTTTTTAATGTTTTTTTTGACAAACATTAAAAGATTAAAGATGGAAACAAATTATTGAAAATTAATACTTGTTTATTTTGAGCTATAGAAGTAAATTTTACACATTTGTCTGACAGGAAATGTTAGCTGCACCTCTAAATCACACTGAAGTTTAGAAAAATTAGTTCAAACACTGACCTGCAGGCAAATGTAATAAATTGCAACATTTTCTTTTTCTGCTAGAACACTACTCCAACAGAGGCCGATTATCATGTTAATAACTTTGCCTTTACTTGTTGTAAAAGCAATGTATTCAAAAGTAGAATGAGAGGGAGAGCCTTCAGTTTTCAGGCCCGTCTTCTGTGGAACCAGCTTCCAGTTTGGATTCAGGAGACAGACACTATCTCTACTTTCAAGATTAGGCTTCAAACTTTCCTTTTTGCTAAAGCATATAGTTAGGGCTGGACCAGGTGACTAGGAATCCTCCCTTAATTATGGTGCTATAGGTGTAGGCTGCTGGGGGATTCCCATGATGCACTGGGTGATTCTTCTTCACCCTCTATGTGTTAATAGACCTCTCTGCATTTAATTATTGGTTATCATTAATTTCTGGCTCTCTTCCACAGCATGTCTTTTGGCCTGTCTTTCTCCCCTCCCCTCACCCGGTTGTGGGAGATGGCCGCCCCTCCCCGAGCCTGGTTCTGCTGGAGGTTTTTTCCTCTTAACAGGGAGTTTTTCTTTCCCACTGTTGCACATGCTCAGTGGAGTCACCTGATTATAGGGGTTTGCAATGTTGTATTATTGTAGGGTCTTAGCCTACTTAAACTTAAATTGAATTAACCCCAAAGTGACAAAAGGGAAAGTCAGTTATTGATTTTTTACTACCATTGGTCTTTCTTTCACAGTTTCAGATAGATATCAACATCCCAAAATTGATCCTGTGACCAGTTAAAGTTGTAACCAATCACGCTGTTGAGGAAAATTTTTTAAACCATTCTTTGGCAGAAGGGAGAAGAAAAAGTGTGAAAGTACTTACACCACATCAGATCACTTCTGTCCCTCACAGTTTCCACATCATTGATATCAGGCCCCGAGAAATCAGCAGTGACCAGGCCAGTGTTCCTGTAGTGGTAGATACTTGCTCCTTTGTATTTGTCCTTTCCAATGGCTGCTACAAGGCAATAAAATCTGCTGCTATCCTTCAGAAGTTTTGCTTTTTTAATCATTTTGGCTCTTACATCATCAGAGAAATACCAATGATCCTTGGCAGGTGTAGTGTTACCACTGTCCAGTTTCATTTTATCCAAGTAGTCAGACATGTTCTGCAGATATGGAGTGTATTTCAGGGAGGTGAAAGCAAAGCAGAGAACTTCCTTTTCTGAATTAAACACCTCTCTGTCAAGCTTGGACTGATCTGAGATGATCTTTATTCCTTGCAGAATGTTTAGAATGCAGCTGATGTTGTTGATTTCTTTCTCTTGATATTCAATCCACTTGGTTAATCTCTCCTGACTGAAAGGTGACTTGTCTCTGTCATCAAACACTTTCACTAATTTCTGTGTATCCTCTTTACCTACCCTGGTGGAGAGAAATTTCTCAGCCATTGTCTGCTGGAGTGAAGATCTGTAATACTCGCAGAGCTTCTTGAATCTGATCAACTTTTCTTGTATCTGTGGAAAGCTTCTCACCACTTTGTCCTCCAGCAGATCATTGCATCTTATTTCCACATTATGGAGATCCTGTAGGATATCTTCAGCCTTTCTAACAAGTCCAGGATTGATCTCTTCAATCCTCACCTTGGCTTTGAGATGCAAATCCTTCAGTGGCATCAGTGTGACCTTCAGTGGGACACCATTATCTTTGTTTTCTCCCAGTAGTTTTGGAAGTTGGCTGACTGTCTTCACTGCATCTTCAAATGTTACAGGGTTGCTTTCAAGAATGAAGTCTCCATAGAATTGGCAGGTGAATTGATCAGTCACAGCTTTGTCTTCATCACTCAGCTTGATGTCAACTTTCCCATCAACATTAAATGAGGGGATGTTGTTTATCACAGTTTCCATACTAGCCTGGGTGTCCTGAATGTTGCTAGCACCCAACTTCTTACTGTCAAACACAACAAAAGCATTTGTTCCATAAAGGATTCCTGTGACTACATGTGTTGCCGAACTCCTCACATTATCTGTTAGTTTAATGTTCTTGATTTTCTGAGGATTCAGTGTCAGCTGTTTGAATTTGGTGGTAGCTTTGTAGTGAAGTGTGAATAGACTCTGATGTTGAAACTTCTTCTTATTAAGCAGGTACCTGGCTGATCCTCCAACTTTAACCATTCCAGACAGGACACTGAGCTTCATGGAAGAATCAACATCCAGCAGAGAGGACTTGGATTCAAAAGAATCAGATTTAATGACATTCAAGTAAGTACTAGGCTGGTCCTGCTCTTCTGTTCTTTCTTCTTGACTGCTGTCATCCCACAGCTTCACACCTTTAAAACATGAGATCCACAAAGCGGTTAAAATGAAATACAAATTCCTTAAATATTTTTCCAATAAAATACAGGCAGATCTATCAAAACCATTAGGACAATGGCACAGTCTTGTACGATATTACATCTCTCTTTGTTTGCATCCCAGTCACGGAAGCATCGGAGGTAGTTCGTAAGAGTTTACAAGATGACCCCAACCTCAGCAACAGGACAGCGCTCAGCATGGACCAAGTGTGTTTGCTTTTGGAACCACAATTCACGGATTACATTAATTCCGTGGACCAACACATCAAATTCACCAGGGAGCAGTGTTGGGCAAGTTACTTTGAAAAAGTAATTAATTATAGTTACTAGTTACTTCTTCAAAAAAGCAACTGAGTTAATAACTGAGTTACCAGATTCTAAAAGTAATTAATTACTTGAAAAGTAACTATTGCGTTACTTTTAATTTTCCCTCTTCTTTTCACCTTTAAAAACTATTTACTTTGCCTTTTTTGGTATCATTCTTTACAGCACAACCTCACGTGTCTGAATTTACAGTTATGTTTTCATTTTGACATACTGTTGTCCTGATTCGTGATTGAGGTGAGAGACAAACGACCTCTGGTCCAAGTACGTCAAAACAATGATTTTATTAAACACATGTGTGGAAAGATACACAGCTTTAGATTGCCAACACCGATCTCCTATCAAAACATACTTTCAGCATGGTTTTATTATGTCAGGGTTAACGCCCCTTCTCGCGTTAGACAAAACATCACATATATAGGTTATAATTAATGACAGTTCAACAAGTTTCTGTGTTTAACAGCATTTTTCCCTATATAGTTGTCTGGCCCCCCCAGATGTTTCCTGTAGTGCTAGTTGCCAAGCACAGTCAAAGCAAGATGTTTTTCACCTTTACCCTAGAAATTATACTTCATGTTTATGTGTATGTAAGCATGTTAGGCCTTCATTCACAGCATTCAAGTCATTTCACCAATATATCAGTTCAGACATAACGCTGAACGAAGCTTTCAACCTTCATTAGACTGTATGCTTAACTCTATTATGAGCACAAATGCAATGTGTGTAATATCATGATCAAAACTGTATGTTTAATAAATGGAATAAATGTTTAATCAAATGCCACTGCTCAAAGCTTAATAAAAAAGATAAAAAAGAATCAACATGATATAAAATGATATACAATGATATGATCCCCACACTGTATTAACACAATTGATCTAAAATCAGACAAAAAACATAAAATCCAAGTAGAAAAATGATAATATCACTGTAACAACCACAAACATGTTCATTGAATCATATTTCATAACCTTAAATGCAAGTATAAATTGTGAATTTTAAAGTCATATGCACAAGTTTTGCAAACAACAAGTTATTTGCAGCCATTTACCTGTTACTCTTTTTTATAACCATTTCAAACTATTTATATAACCATCAGGTGTTCTGCATTCAATAAGATGCCACACAAATTATTTGTGCCACTCCAAAAAAATAATTTCTGTCCACTATAAAGGAGAACATCACAGCC